TACAGATACAGAAGACTGAAAGACAGGTGTAAAAACCCATCGTTGTGTCTTCATCATCATCATTTTTGAGTTTGAAAATAAGAAATGTTCGAGTTTTTTCTCTATGTAGTCATGATAAGGGGGGTAATCACCCCATTATCTCCCCTCAGACACGCGCCTGTCCAAGAGCATCTAATGCATTCAGAAACTGTCACTGTTTGGTATGGATTTTGTGGTGGCGGCGTCATTGGTCCATATGTCTTCGAGAACAACGTTGGCCAGGCCATCACTGTCAACGGCGAGCACTATAGATCGATGATTTCCAACTTCTTTTGACCTGAATTGGATGATCTGGACATCAAAGACATGTGGTTTCAACAAGACGGCCCTACGTGCCACACAGCTCATGCCACATTGGATATTCTCCATGAGAGATTTACGGGCATAGCCATCTCACTTTGTTAGACTTTTTCAATGGGGGGTATCTATCCTCAAGTCGCGGTCTTCAAAGCCAACATAACCCATGCCACCGGTCATACTCATCCGGATTTATGTGCCAGCCATGGAAAATTGTACGTTATCGATGCTCTCCACCCAGAGAAGCCGTGGCGGACATTTGAACGATGTTTTATTCCACACATAATGGCATCAACATGTCTTTCAAACGTTTTATTCAAATTTGAGGATAGGAAGTGCTTAATGAAAACCCCTACTGGAAATGATGGAAATGGTCTAATTTTATCATTGCAATTTTTGAAGATTTGGAAAATATTCCAGTTACCAACTGAATTATATCAATAACTAATGATTTTTTCGATTTCAAATTTAATATATTTTTCCTGACACCATTTTCGTTTGTTTCAGGAAAAAAGTCACCTTGTTTTCACGTGTTTTCACGTGAAATAAAATTTTCTTCATGCAATATATTGAGATGTTTTTGACTACAACTAGCTAAGATATTTATGAACTTATTTAATGTGTAAGTTTGAAAATGTCCTCATAGGACGAAACTGCAGTAACGTTAGATACAAATAAAAGTGGTAAAACTTTCTATGTTTTTCATCACTTTTATTTGTAACTAACTTTACTGCAGTTTCATCCTATAAGGACATTTTCAAACTTATACTTTTAATGTATAAGTTTGAATGTTATTCACTACGTTTTAACGTGTGATTCCTAACGTGATATGAATCACACGTTAAAAGGTAAGACCTCGTTAGTCCTTAGCTCGCACAAGTTTCTCAACTTCTGAAGGTTGTTATTCGTATGGGAGTGACAGCTGATTAACGGAAAAACAGATTTAAGCAGAACAGAACTTATTGTTTTACCATTATTTTCATTATTATTACCGTCTTTGTATAGATTGTATCATATTCTTTCAAACAAAATAAATTGATATTTTCAACCTTCCACGTTTCAGGTAATACAATTATATTGTTCAAATATGATCAAACACGTGTTGCAGTTTTGTGGATTGTACAGTGAAAGTCTCACAATATATTAATAAACTATTTCTTAACTACGTTAACATATATTTTCATCAAGATTTGGACGAATCCATCATGTATCGTTATGTTTATAAAATTTATTAACGGGAATTCCAATTACTTTTCAATATTTTTATAGCCCTGGCAAATGTAGTTTAAAATATGCTATGAAATCGGCCCACAAAAGAACAAACAATAGTAGTTATAATAAAATGTTTGGAATAATTCATTTTATATTTGAAAAGTGTCTTTAATATCTTCAGTTGACTAAGATATATCGTACTTTTCATGTAACTTTTTCGTGTCTACCTGCAGGATATTTCTTCATTAAGAATTCAACCTATTTCACCAGTTCGGACTTCCATTGTCTAATTTAATGTTTATTGATTTGAAATCCCTGAAAAAATCTGTAAAAAATTATGTATATTATTTCTTTGTAATTTCAGTTTTTTGTTCAATAAAATTGTAATTTTTCGGTTAATCTTTTTAATTTTTTACAGATTCTTTCAGGGATTTCAAAACAATTTATGTTAAAGCAGACAACGGAAGTCCGAACTGATGAAATACACCACGAAACATTGTCGACCACCTTCAAACAAACGAAGAATTCAACCTACTGATATTTACTTCTTAACTGAATCGAACTTTTTCAGGTTTTTTTTTGTGCTCTGCACTAACAACGATAATAGGCTCTCTTGGAATATTTGGTAACAGTTTATCATTGATGGTGTTGAGAAGGGAAGAGTTAGTTGGTTCCGTTTATACTTACTTCTCAGGTGAGTGTGCTGGCTGAAATGAAAGTGTAATTTTATCACAGTAATGAGAAATTAGTTGAAAAATCTAGTAGTGTTGGCGCCAAGACAAGAAATTCTCGTCTATTGTCTTGAATGAGATGGAGATTTTTCTCTTGAAAAATCGTCTTTCGACTAGAGAGATAAGATAAGAGTCATCTTTCAAGATAAGAGTCATCTTTCGACAAGAGAGAACAAGAGAAGATGAGATGAAAGTAACATCATAGAATTTTTGAATAAACTGACCCATTCCTTGTTAAAAATTAATAACACTATTCATGTGTTAGGAATCACACGTTAAAAGGTAAGACCTCGTTAATCCTTAGCTCGCACAAGTTTAGACTCCTGAGGGTTGTCGTTCGTAGGGGTGTGACAGCTAGTTAACGGAAAAACAGATTTTTTAAACAGACAGATGAAAATAATCAAAAATGTTCCCGATATACCGGGTGTCAACGAATCTATTAGACAAGTCATAATTTCTAGACTATTAGGAGAATTGAAATGAGATTTGGTATAGTTGAATGGTATGTGGAGAGGAATGTTTTCACATATTTTTCACTTTCCGGTCACTTCCGGTTTCAGCGGAAATGGCTCCGGTTCTGAATTTTTAAATGGAACACCCTGTATATTGTAACATTTTTGGATTTCTGAGACAATTCTGGATCAGAAACTGACANTTAGACACGAAAATGTTATTTTGTAAACTTGTCTCATTCATATTCAACACACTAGTCACTAAAACTCCGCTATTGCAATTTTCTGATATCACCTGAGGTCCATAGATTAGTTTACGTCCGATCATGGCCACCTAGATGCAATTTTAAAAGTGACTCTGAAAAAATCAAGTAGGCTGAAAAACTTCCGGAAATGTCAGTTTCTGATCCAGAATTGTCTCAGAAATCCAAAAATGTTACAATATACAGGGTGTTCCATTTAAAAATTCAGAACCGGAGCCATTTCCGCTGAAACCGGAAGTGACCGGAAAGTGAAAAATATGTGAAAACATTCCTCTCCACATACCATTCAACTATACCAAATCTCATTTCAATTCTCCTAATAATCTAGAAATTATGACTTGTCTAATAGATTCGTTGACACCCGGTATACCTAATTTCAATACGCGTTTGACCTGGTAGATATTCTCCAACACTAGTTTCACTAGTTCTCGAATATTTTTCTCAAGTTCTCTATAATTCGCAGGTCATTTTCAGCAGCCGATGTTCTTAAGATCATGGCAACATAGCTTGTAATACGTATTGAATATATATCTTCATTCTGAATACAACGTCTGTTCAAAAAATTTGATGACCTTCAATTTTTTTAAAAATATTCATTCATTCATCAATTTCTATTTTATGCCCTCTGAAGTAATTCCCCCAGATATTATACACTTGTGCCACCATTTTTTCAACCCTCGAAGCAGTTCTGATATGCACTTTTTGGTATGTTCTTTATCTTTCTCAGCGATTCGGTTTTCATCTCCTCAATAGTCGCAAAACGCCGTTCTATCATGAGTTTCTTCAATCTTTGAACAAAAAAAAATCACAGGGGTGCAAATCTGGTAAATACGGTGTCGGATGCATGATTACGGTGTTGTTTTTGGCCAAAAAAATATCAACAAGCAATGACGAGTGAGCACGTGGATTATCATGATGCGAAAGCCATTATTTGTTTTTCCACATAACCAGGCATTTTCTCAGTATTGCTTCTCGCAAGCGACGCAAAACTTCAAGATAATACTGCTTATTGACCGTACGACCATGTGGGCAACACTCCTGATGAACTGCGCCACGGTAATCGAAGAAAACAGTGAACAAAACCTAGGCGTTTGATCGAACTTGGCATGCTTTTTTGTCTGGGCTCTCCTGGACTCTTCCATTGGGATGATTGGACTTTGCTTCCGATGTTATAACCGTATATCTATGATTCATCACCAGTTATGACCCTTTTGAGCAAATCTGAATCGTCGTTGAGATCATTCTACAATTCCTGAGCGATGCTCATGCGACGGTTTTTTTAGTCAGAATTCAGCAATTTTGAAACGAACTCCACTGTCACATGCTTCATGCCCAAAATTTTCGAAAAAAATGCATGGCATGAACCATCCGATATGCCGACATCCTCAGCAGCTTCTCTGATAGTGTTTCAACGATTCTCCATAATCATTTTCTTCACTTCCTCAACATTTTCATCGATTGTTGATGTGCTGGGGAGTCCGGGGCGACCCTCGTCATTCACATCTTTTCGACCTTCTGTGAAAAGCTTGAACAACGCAAAACTTTTCTATCTTTCATGCTTCTCATCAAGAAACTAAACAGCTGAAACTGTGAATATATGTTTGAGACGAGTGTACCAACATGGAATAATAAAAAATATGGCCAATCGAAATTTGAACATGCACCTACTTTTTTTAATAGACATCGTATCCTGATCAGCATCTGATACTGAGAGGATAACCAGTCTTAATCTCTTTCAGTTTTGGCCGTGATATGAGTTGCATAAATGAACGCTACACGTGTCGTAACAGTTATCACTAGGTAAAGACATTTAATCATCTCCTCATTCACTCACCTGCTGTCTATATTTCCAAATAAACTTCTTATTTGGTATGTCTTACAAAACCAAATGTTCTCGTACCTCACTGATAACTGGTTCAAATACTTGTTAGATTTTGAAGGCTGATGCGATATTGAAATAATTGGTGAATCTCTAATAGTTTTCTACACGCCATTTCAGAATTCATTCTGTCACGAACTCTAATAATTTTTACTTACAAACATCGTTCCGATATTTGGACATCTTTAAATAGCCAATGAGAAAATTTCCTGATACTCGTAATGATCGTTTCTGGGGTTTTCATGACGACTCATATGGCAGATGTAACAACTTTTCGTTAACCTGTGGTAGAAGTCCATTATATCTCGAAGTGGAGTATAGTAGATTTACGATGAAGAAAAACATAAAATCGTCTCCAAAATTTAATATCACCCTCAGATGTTAGAACGGTAAAACCATCAATAAGTACATGTTTCGAACCTGTATAGGTTCATCACCAGATAATTATTTATAGGAGAAGAATAACATAATAGTGAATATAATGAAGTATAAAAATACTAACATGGAGAAAAAAAATATAATGGAAAAACTAAAAATTATCACATGTTTTCAATAAATATATGATTGGTCACAATGACATGTTGATAGTAATGAAAATTGCATATTAAGTAATATGTAGGAAGGCTTAGAGCCTGTATATCCACTAATTAACATCAAAATCGAACAACTCCACATGAAAACGAAATCTTATGGAAGAGATCCGAATTGAATTGGATGAGAAAGGAGAATCAATTGTCAAGAATATATAAAGGAATGAAGTCGAGATTACATGGAACAGTGACCAGAGACCTACAAACACAGAACACAACGGAAGAAAGGCCACCATATACATATCAAACCGTGTTCTGAGCAAACAGATCCCATACCATCTACACATGTCAGCTTGTTACAATAATTCGTAAAAGTAATCTTATGAGCATGATGTATTTGTAGACACCCTGTACACATTGAGGGACCACACGTTGAAGTATTAAACGTCATATTTTTTCTTACATCTGGTTCATCATTCATCATTATTAATATATCACTTTCGCCTTTTCAATATACAGTTTCCTAACCGTTTATGCCTTATTTTGAAACCGGCAACGCTGCATCACCCCATAAACAACTATTTATTTCACAACCGACAACACCGAACCTGTCATGCTTGCATTGGCGGCGTATCACCTCAAAAACTTCTCAATCTCTCTTTCTCTCTTTGCATCGATTACGTCACACGTGTTTCTCTCTTACAAATACACACCTCTTATAAAACATCAATTATTTCCCAAATCTAAGGATATTTTTCTATCTTCTACAAGGAAATGACGTTACAATTCCCCTAAAATTCTACGGAAATCTAGGAGTGAGGTTAAGTATAGAAAATGAGTCAATTTCGGCCCCGACAATACAACCGCAATAAATACCAACAATTCGCAATTACTTCCAATATTCCACGTTGGTGTCGAGAAACATTGTGGAAAAATTTGGTTGTCAGGATAATTTGACTGAAGTTTTCAAATCACCAAAGATGACAACCGAATCCCGACTGTAGCGCCTGTTTATTAAATTACAAAAAAAAAGATGGATTCTTGATTCTTTTTTAAATGAAATACAGCCCATGTTACTCCCTGATAATGAAGGTGAAAGAAGTTTAGTATTCGATTGGGTAGTTTTTGAATTTATCCATTACATATAAATATACAAAGAATCATTTTTTTTAATATTAGTTTGAACATTTACATTATGAATTGAATTTCGATGTCCAGTCATCTGCTGTTTTTGGGTTTCTTAGCCGTGGTCTTTAGGCCTGCGGAAGATATCATCGAAGGTTGTGTAGCAGTTTCAGGTGAAACATCAGGCTTGAAAACCTGCGTATCACGACTAAGAAACCCGAAAATAGCAGATATTTTGTTATACCGTCCATGAAATCATACATGACATGATACATTTCTTTGAAACATAGTTCTGCATACCCTGATTAATCACCTCAACAATAATGGATTCTATACAATTGCATATGAAGATGACATAGTTATCTTACAGACCGGTAAATTTGTGAATACACTGTGCGATAGAGCGCACGATGGGCTCAAATTAATAGAAACAATGGCGTATGGAAAATAAGTTTATTGGGCTTAAAACCTCCCGAAACTTCAATAGCAAACTAAACTTCTCTGAAGAGGTGAAATACCTTGGTACTATCCTCGACAGGAAAATAACTTGGAACTCTCTCCTACAGAGTAGAGCAAAGAGAGCATATGTGACTTATGAGCAATGTCGGAGGACAGTGGGTCGCGCATGGGGTCTTTCACCCCGTGTGGTCACCTGGATCTAATAAGACCTATGTTAACGTACGGAACCATTGCATGGGGACCGAAAGTACTACAAGCGATTGTAAGATTGGCTTATTTAAACATCACAGGAGCCATGAAAACAAAACCAACCGCGGTAATGGAATTAATTACTGGTCTGACCCATCTGGACCTGTACGCGTTAATGGACATGTTACGATTGCGCACGACTGGTGTAAACCTCGAAGTAGGAATGGGTCAATTGAGGCTGAGCCAATGGCGAGAAGCGTTCACTGCGCAACCTCTGCTGCAGGCAACCAGTGATGCACTTGAATCCAGGTTTGTGTTTAATAAACCATACAAAATACAGATAGAACAGAACACGGAGTCAGAGGCTACAAATGTAATACGCATATATACAGACGGCTCAAAAAACCAAAGAAGGCTCAGGATGTGGAGTGTACTCCAGATCGCTAAGCCTAAGGATTAAGTGGGGAATGGGAAAAAACCAGCATGGTTCAAACAGAACTGACTGGTATCTCAACCGCCACAAAAGAAATAACCAGGAAAGGACTGTCTGGCAAAAACAAAACAATCTGCCTTGATAGCAGACAAGCCATATTAGCCTTGAACAGACAACGTGTTACCTCAGGGCTAATTCTAGAGTGCTACCAAGATTTAGCCAAAGCCTCGGTAGATAATAACATTATCTTGAGGTGGATTGAAGGGCACGACAGAAGTAAAGGTAATCACATTACCGACTCTTTAGCCGAAGAAGTGACTGGACTAAGAATTTTAGGACCCAGTGGCACCTACGGCCTGATGACTTCGACAATTGCGGAACTGGCTGAACGTTACACCAATGCTCAATTCCTAAAGAGATGGGATGAAATCAAAGGATGCAATCTAGCCAGGATCACCCTGGGCGCCCCTGGGAAGCTGACGCCAAAGAAAAATCTGGCGATGACCAGAAAAAATCTACGCTTAAAAGTAGAATTTCTGACTGGCCACTGTCAACTAAGGAAACACATTCATAAAATGGTGCTAGAGCACACACCTCTATGCAGGATATGTGAACAGGAAGATGAAACTGTCAGGCATGTCCTATGCGAGTGTCCGGAGTTATCGTCAATGAGAGAGTGTGTGTTCAGCGAGTCTTGGCCTACACCTGCCGATATAAAGGAGATTTCTCCTAGTGACCTGTGGTCACATGTAGCCTAAGTGCTGTGGGCCTACACTCACCCTCCCTACTTCACGGATACAGATGATACATTTCGATTATTTGGGAAATGAAATAGAATCTTTTTTCCCCGTTTGGGGCGTTGTTTACGAGATGGAACTGTTACTAGTTAACAAATTTTCTTAGACGAATGTTTCATACATGCATTCGAGACACGATAAAGTCGATCGAGTCCCAGGCACACTGCTGTTTGGGTTGGTTCTTTCCTGCACTGATGAGAGGCGATACCATGAAACCGGTTTGTAGATGATCTACTTTATTGATTCCAGCTTAGTCCTACTAACCTCTGTAAGGTATCTTGCATCTGTCGGATATAATTCAATGCCCATCATGATATTAGCCAGGGAAGTAGTTGTGTTCCAGCAGGCATTAATCACAATCTATTATGCCGGTTGGATAGCTGAATGTTTCGAAATTCAATTTTGAAATATTACTGTAACCCCCATGAGCTTAGTGGATTTTCCTGTTTGCCTCCCTTACTTATTTCATGCTAAAGTTTATAGTATACTGAAGTTTCAGAAATTATTTACGCTCATATCCAAACCAACTCAAACATATTTAAAAATAGTTACTTTCGGTGGGAGTGAATTGATTTGTTTTGAAAAAAACTTCATTGGTTTCGAGAGGCGAGAGGTGTTACAATTTTCCCAAGTAGGTTTCAATGAGCCTTTTGAAGTAGTGAATCTCAAACATTCTTTTCAGTTCTGGCAGCTACTGACCTAATACTATCCATAAATTTCTTCTTTAATGGTCTGAGCAAATGTGTTACGTTCTTCACTGTCTGGTATTCATATGGATTAATTATTGGCCTGCCCGTTTCTGCAGCAATCAACGCACTAAATGTCATGGCAACTGTGGCTGTTACTGTTGGTAAGTTCGTGAGAAATTCAAATATATATAAATGGTATTTTTTGAAAGATTCTTGATTTGGAGAATATTTCAACTATGATATGGAACTAAGAAATTTTCCGGAAAGGTAATACCATCGATACCAATATAGCTTTTATTCAGAGCTTTCTAAGTAATAACTCCTGTATGAAATTCAGTCTGCTGATCATGAATCTGGATGAAAACTTGCCGCTTGGGTGTAGACCCATTGCTGAAGAGATAATGATAAAAACCAAAAAATTAATTGTATTAAGCCTATACATTAAAATAACTATTGGGCTTAATTTTTGTCAAGTCAATACAAAAGTTGAAACAGTTGAAAAATCGACTATCTCAGAAACTCACTTCCGGAAATAAAACTGTTTTCACGATCACATGCTGCGATTCAAATAATTCAAATGTGCAACTGAAACAAACATTACATTCTATGAAAACACTCTTCCTTTACCAGAATAAAAATGCATTCTCTCAACAGGCGTTGCGCCAACCAAGTTAGTATCATCAGGAGAGGATTAAGACTGATACTCATACTCGACACGTGTTTCGATCACCAAGTGATCATTTTGAAGATTTAACCTTCCTCTTGAAGATGATCACATGGTGATCGAAAAACATGTCAGGGTGTTAAAATAACAGTTTGGTATTGGGATAAAACTCCAGTAATATTCATTACTACACCAAAGGTTCTAAATAGTGCATAACAAAAACCATGATAATGTTTTCATACGTATCTGGACGAATCACTACTTTATATAATGAGGGTCAGGATACGAAAACATGTATGGGAGGCATGGGACCTTCGTCACCGTTCACAGAACTCATTTGACATTTTTCGATTTATAAACTTTTGAAGACATCTAAAAATATGTTGTTATGTACCGGTCTCAAAAGTTTCAAGCATTTCTCACTTGTTCTGTGGACGTTTTCTATGACACGTTGAGAAAAACTGGAATTTTCTGGCCGAATATGTGAAACATGCTCTTTGTTGCGAGCTATTATATTTCGCTTAGTTTGACAGATATACTTTTTATCGCAATTTTTACAGCAATCTTTAATTTTTTTTTCTTTTCACTTTTAACCCTTATTAACAACCACCCACATCATGCAAACGATCAGATTGACATACCATTACCATTATCATTATTGAAAATACGTAAGACATTGATGCTATCAATATCTGACGCGCTCGAGTATGTTCATGCAACAGTATTTTTTTACATATTTAAAAATCTTTAGCCGGTTTCCCCACCGATGAAAAGGTATATATTAAAAACATTTTTTTCTTTTTATCATCTAAGCTTTGCAACCTAATATGTCTCAATGACGCTCGAGTAAATCCCCATTTTGCATCGTGGACTTCCCTGTTAATAGCTGTACTCTCCATGTTGATCGTAGCAGTTAGTGAACTGGAAGCAATTTTGTCCATCAAAGTTTGTGTGAGCTGGATATACTCACTCCTTGAATACTTAACCACCTAGTTCATTTGTTTCTAAAAGATCCTTCACATATTGAAGCACTCGAAAATAACGAAGGTACGTCAAAAGTTACTAAAATCTCACCATCTCGAAACCTTCCTGGGTTGCGGAATCGATAGGGTGTTGAACTGTTTTGTTAGCCATTTGGGTATCTCAATCGTAGGGGACCCCATAGCTGAAAAAATTGGTCGTATGAACTTGCCTGGTTTGTGAATTTATGTCAAACCGAATATATAGGTTGTTCTGGTGAGGAAGCAGTGTTGTAAATAGATTAATTTCACGCCAGAGTCTCCAAATTTATTCTACCACAAACATCACACTTTCAATACATTTACAATAGATGGATATATTTCAAGTCTTGTTGAACAAGTTACATTAATTTCTAGTTTAATTCTGTAATACTGTCAACAGTGTTATGCACATTTCATATAGTAAATTGATGGATGTAGCCTGTACTACATGGTAGGAAATCATAATGAAGAAAAGAGAAATGGAACTTTCTATGTTTTTACCACTTTTATTTGTAACTAACCTTACTGCAGTTTCGTTCTATACGGACACTTTCAAACTTATACAATAAAATAACAATGGTTCATTCTTATATATCACCCCTGTAGGTACTAATAGAGGTACTTGACTTGATTGCTGGAAGTACCAAACTTAACTCAAGAAACTTGGGCACTAATACAGAAACAACAACATATCATACACCGCGAATCAGTCGAACCAGATATCCAGTTCAGCGAAAGAATCATTAACTTGACCAAGTAGAATTTAACAAAGAGGAAATTTCAACAATGTCCAAGGAGCCAAAATATACACCAACAATAATTAATAAAAATAGTTTGGATACATTGATAACAGATATAACTATTGCATTGAAACAGACAGATCATAAAGATATAGGGGCTTACAAGATAAATGAAGTAATTCAGAACCATCCATTCTCTTCATCAGATAGTAGAGAAACATGCATAATAAAAACTATACAACAATAAATAAGAAATAATGATCTTGTTTTCACAAAAGCTGATAAATCGAATGTCATCGTTATCCTTGAACGAGAAACATATGTTCAGGAAATTGATTCAGTCATTAAAAAATCAAGAAAGACCCAACAAAAAATAGTCAAATTGAGCTGAAAAATTTCCCCTCAGATACTAAAATCCTTTTCACGGAATCAGAGAAACGGGGAATCACCAATATGAACCCCTCTTGCCCTAAACTATATGGCCTGATAAAAACACATAAAGAGGATAACCCCATAAGATCGATAGTTTCGTATATAAATAGTCCGGTAAGAGAACTAGGAATACGGCTTAACAAGTTGTTCAAAAAAATTGTGGAATTGGCCGCGGTGGTAGTGCGCCCGACTCACGATCGTAAGGCCGTGGGTTCGATTCCTGCATTGACCAGATATTTTTCTCGAGATAAGTCATCTGGTTGAAGCTGGGATGATTCTGCAACCGTGTTAGGAATCACACGTTTAAAGGTGAGACCTCATTAGTCCTTAGCTCGCACAAGTTTCTCAACTTCTGAGGGTTGTCGTTCGTATGGGGCGACAGCTGATTAACGGAAAAAGACAGAAACAGATTACCAATTTCGTCCCACCTCACAGCATTAAAAATTCATTGACTTTAGTAGAAAACATAAGGAACCAAACCACGCCACATAATTCAATTTTAGTTTCATTGGATGTAAAGAGTATGTTCTCTAACATATCGTACAACGAGTGTAAGCCCCTCATTTTAGACATATTAGATCAAGCCAAAGTAGACCATATCACTTCCTTTGAAGTTTCAAATACAAGCTCCAGCTCCTGTGCTTGAGAATAATTTTTTATGTGAACGTTATTTCCTTTGGCTCTTCTAATTGTCATTAGTGATATTAAAAATTGTTTGGATGCAGTTTCATAGGCCTTCCCCCCTTCTTACGGTATTTATGACGTTAATTACGGCGTTTACATCCTAGTTCTGAAGGTAGTTTTTCGAATGTAATTTTGCAAGACAAGTTTAATAATACCACATATTTTTTGCAAGATGAATTTAATAATACAATGAGTTTACGGAACGTGAAATTCAAGTCTAATATTCAAGTTATAGGTAATTGTACATATAATTAATACTTCATTAAAAACTAAAAGTTAAGTGAACAAATTGGAAGTAGGTAGGCAGGGGGAAAATGATCCTGGAATCATTTTGCTCACCCTATCAAGGGATCGTTTTGTCCCAAATACACAAAAAACATCGAAACTTAACTTATGTTTTTCGAATATTGTAATGAAGGGCGGTTAATTCTATTGCTGAATGGTACCAGAAACTGAAACAAATCGTAGTTCTGAATATTTTGTGACAAAACTTTTCCACTGCCAACGGCGCCACGACACTGCCATATATTGTACAGCTCGGCCGAAGGAATACGAAATTCAACTGAAATATCATTAGGTCGGTATAACAGTCAGCGATCGTTTCAACTCAAGGGATAATTTTGTACCACCCCCCTCTACCTGTTTATTTTTTATTGTGCGGAATTTTGAAAATTCAAGTCGCTAAGCTTCAGAGGAAATGCTATTTACTTTATTTTTATTAAGTAATCCTGAGATTTATTCAAAAAATCTTAAAATATGTATGCTATCAACGAAGTATCTATTGAAAAAATGGTTAAGGCTTTCGCGACTGAGGTTTTCAGTGTCACCCTTTTTCGGGTTTGAAGGCCGTCGATTTTTGTAATTTCTTCCTGACCTTTCGCTGGCATGAGTGACTAACTACTTCAGAGGTTTTTACATCCGATGACTGGACATTACGGCTGCGTTAGGAAAGATTCTGCAATGTCGTATGGGTTAAGCCGGAATTACATTATTATGTTGTGGTGTGTTGTGATGCTCTCTGACGTGACGGCGAGGTGTGCAGACTATTCTGTTGTGTCGGGGAGCGTTCTGACGTTATTTCGAGTCAATACAGTGGTGGCCTTTGAAGTAAACATATGCGAGCATCTACAATGCTTACCTCCGATTCAGATAGTGATATTCAAGAAAACCTTGCGTGTCTGCTAATGTAAAGTTTACTTGAAAAGAAAACAGAAAATATTGGGTTTATCCAGTAAATGATCTGAGAAGTAGTCGAAGCGAGTATCATTTACTAGTGATGAAGAAAACACCAAATAGTCTCAATAATTTCACGTTCAACCTATAGTGAATAGGTATTTCCAGCCACAGATATTAGTACGGGTGCTAATAATTTTGTATCCCAACCACAGATTTTTATTCTCCTCTACGTCGGCATGTGTGGCCAGAAATCTGTGGATAACTTCACGCCAATCATGAATACAACAATTCACACGTTTTCTCAATTTCGCCAAAATTACTTGTGAGCGATAAGGCATATGCACTCTTTTATGAACTGCAGGGAACGAAGCATCACCTTTTGATGTGATTTTTTTTCTCCTTTCCTTTTTTTTATAATCTTAGTTCTTTGAATTGATTTGTATTTCATGATTGTTCCGAATTTCATTATTTATTGTAGTATTTAAAATAATAAATAGAAGCGGGTAACTCTAACATATTTTGAAAAAAGAACAGAGATATTTGCGTGTTTCTTCAGAAAAAACAATGTAGAAGACACAATGCCAGGTTATTTTATTTCCTTTTCAATGCCAAAGATGAGGTGGACAAATTGGAGAAATCTGGAGTTTATAAGCTTAAGTGTCCGGAGTGTAATGGTGTTTATGTGGGACAATGAGGCCGAAATTTCCAAAACCGGTATGCTGAACATGAAAGGTCCTACAGACTAGGAAAAAATGATTCGGCGTTTTCAAATCATTCCTTGGCATGCAACCACAAGTTTCCGAATCTAAACGATACGGAAATTTTGCACTATGCAAGGAAGGGTTGCAAAATCAATTATTTAGATTCCTTGGAAATTCACAAGCATAAACATTGACGGTGCAACCTGTTAAATGATCAAATCGATTTAGTTCACTCATCGGTTTTTAAATTGGCACATCCGCATTGTAAACTGTAAATTCAGGTACTCAATCAAGCCAAGTACCTCTATTAGTACATATAGGGGTGGTATATAAGGGCTAATCTAATAAACCATTGTTAGTTTATTGTATAAGTTTGAAAATGTCCGTATAGGACGAAACTGCAGTAAGGATAGTTACAAATAAAAGTGGTAAAAAACATAGAAAGTTTCATTTCTCTTTTCTTCATAACGTTTCATTTAGTTTCATCAACAATGCACTATGGAAAAGATACAATTTTGAGAAAATTAAACGTTTTATATGGAATGAAAATAGGAGTGCAAAGTAAATGAAGATCGAAGGTGTCAATTCACATGATTTTACTACCGGAAGTGAGTTCTTGAAATGGTCGATTATTCTATTTTTGACTGGTCATATCTCCAAAAGTAGACTGGAGCGCCTAGTTTTGACCTCAAGGACAAAAATACGAGAATCTAAAAAACATTTTTCAGAAAGTAGCGCGAGCCCAAATTACAAAACTTTATTGTTTTGTATTTTACCCTATCCGTAGACGAAACAAATATTATTTCATCGTTGTGATCTTCAGAATGAGTTATTTTTTTTGACCTCGGTGATCTTTTTCCGATGATCTTTAAATGCTTTTTGACGTCTGACAAAGTCTTATTAGCAGCTTCTTAGCCGGTTGACATATTTGTATCAAAGTGATGATATTGATCGGTTTCGAAGTTGAAAAGTATCATGTTTGCTGGACTGAGATTAAGTTATTCAGTCACCTCCTTGGTGGAATTTTATTGATGTTAACAATCAACAATGTTGATGGTTGCATCATATAGATATTGCTGTAAAAATATTGAAGATGTAATGAATACTGGTATACATTCATTTTTGAATATGTTGTAGGACAAGAGGACATATTTGAGAGAGAAAGTTTATGGATTTTTTTGTAAAATAGGAAATATGATCGTTGAATGATAACTCATTTGGTATTTGGATACCAATTATTAGAATTGATTTAGATTTTCATTGTCGTTCTCTATGTAGAATTACTCGTAGAGTGCAAATTTGAGTTGCTTTATGTTTGTAAAGAGCAGTTAAAAGCACTGCCTTTGATTTTAAAACATTTACTTCCACTTTATTACAATGAGCCTTTTTCATAGAGTTCTTCATTTCCTTCAATGCTCTTCTTGACGTCTCGAAATACAGGTAGAATAAATCACCTCTATTATTTGATCATTTCTACTTTGAAATTGTTAACTAACTTCACACGAATGGTTTGGTATAAAAATGCTTATGAATTCCAATCATGAATATTGATGAATCATTAGATGAATCTATAAATAAATGTTTACTTTCATGAATTCAATATCAATAATTTCAGTTGGAGAGGTGGTACAAAATAACCCCTCTAAGGGTAAATGACTGTAAAACGTGTGCATGCAGCTTTTTCTTAAAATATTCAAGGAGTAGCTTTTCAATCGAACTACGAATTTAATAAGCTATGAGTTATTAGAAATAATGTTGATCAATGTTCTCGTGAAGGTCACCCCTGCGAAAAAAATACCCTTAAAACAGGGTGATACCTACCTGCTCTTTATGAAACGACATAATTTTGCAATGCGGACTAGGGAAGTGACAGAATTTATTGACGGATCACCCTGTAGCGCTTTTGAATATTTAATGAGATTTTATTACTCTACACTCTTTTGAAATAGACTATAGAGATATGCAGTCAAAATCCGTCGGAAGGATATGCTATTCAAATGTTGAAAATTTCACAAATTCCATTATATGCCACCTATTTTTTAGAGAAGCTTCAGAACTTTAAAATAAACAGAACATAAAACGCGGAAATCATTGAAAAATATAGAAGCTATTTTTCAAAGATTGCTCATCAGGATAAGGTAAAAGTTAAGTAAATCTTAGCTTTCTGCAATTTCATCAGCAACCAAAGAATACAGTCCTCAACTATTGGAATGTTATGATAACTATGTAAACCAAATGTGCGCTTACTTTGTCCAATTGGCAACACTTTCCTGGTTTTAGTGACTTATATGCAGAGTTCAATACATTAAACAAGCTAGGTATTTCACTTATAAATTAATAAAAACTCACTTAGAAACGGATAGTACACAGAAACAAAGCTACCGACCCGATCAAACAAACCTCCTACAACGCCATCGTAAACAGACTAATGTCGTTCGGGTTTCCCAGCGTGGAAGGGGTATCCTACCTTCCTACAGATGAGAGAGAGAGAGGGGTGCAGTGGAGGGGGCAAAGTAGAAGGGGCAAAATTACATATTCCCCCTTTTCTAAAGTCTAGACTGCCGATGGATGGACGATTGGGAAGGAATGTCAGAATTGGAGGGGTGTTTAAATATGTACCTCTCACAGTGGCGGAGTCAAGGGGGTCAAAATTGGACAACTCAAAAACAGTGTTTTCGGAAAAACATTCCGCACCTTGAGAACAAAAGTGGCATTATACTAAAATGAGTTACAACGACATTTAGATTCCTTGAAAGAAAGCGCTTTTATTGCAAAAACGAAATTTTATCTTAGTTTGAATACTTTTCCATAGAGGCCGCTAGTGTCAGTTTAAACTTTTGCGTAAATGACGAAGAAGTCATTCATAAGGTGACATACACGCTGCGGCGAGTAAAAAAAGTGGCATTTTATGACATTATAGTGTTGTTTTAAGTGTAATTCAAACTGATATTTTTGCTGAAGTAATAACTACAAAAAATGGTATTTCAAGTATAGTGTCTATCATTTAGTTAAAGTAATATTGAAATAAATTAAAAAAATCTTAAAATATGTAGGTATGCTTTCAACGAAGAATTTATTGAAAAAATGGTTAAGGCTTTCGCGACTGAGGTTTTCAGTGTCACCCATTTTCGGGTTTGAAGGTCGTCGATTTTTGTAATTTCTTCCTGACCTTTCGCTAGCATGAGTGACTAACTACTTCAGAGGTTTTTACATCCGATGACTGGACATTACGGCTGCGTTACGAAAGATTCTGCAATGTCGTATGGGTTAAGCCGAAAAATCATTATTATGTTGTGGTGTGTTGTGATGCTCTCTGACGTGACGGCGAGGTGTGCAGACTATTCTGTCGTGTCGGGAAGCGTTCTGACGTTATTTCGAGTCAATACAGTGGTGGCCTTTGAAGTAAACATATGCGAGCATCTACAATGCTTACCATTTACTAGTGATGAAGGCAAATTTCATCAATATTTCAGGATGTCAAAAAATCAATTTGAGTAGAGTATGGTAGAAAATGATATCAAAAAAATGCAAACCCGTATTTTCTAACAAGTTCAATAAGTTTGTCCGACATTTTGTGCACAAATAAATGCAAACGACTATTCTCTAGCTAGTTAACGCGTCATATTACAAACATACTAGTGTGGAGTCTTCTGACGCGTCATAACCTCACCATCGTTCTGACGCCGATCGGGAATCGACCGATTGCCTTCACGACAGATCGCGTCCCGACACAGTGCACTTTAGTAATATAATTCTAAACATACTAAATGTATGGACACACTTTTGCATAACACCAATGCCATATTTATTATCATTGACGAAACATGAAACCTTTGTATCTGTAAGTATTTACGTTTCTATTTCTCGCGAAATATATGAGTATGAGTATATATCTATATTCACAATCCAATAGGAAATTACTCATTATTACCTTAACTTTTGACTCTTAAAAGCAACAAGATGATTCATGTTCGTCTGTAAGAAAATGATTGAAACTTTCATTATTATTATTATTAATTACTACTGATTATATTTACATTATTCATTTCAGATAGAGTAATATACATGTGGAATCCATTGAGGTGTTCCAGGCCAAAATTTTGCAGTACAAATATTGCCAGAGGGCTGATGATGGCATGCTTGATTTTGTCTATAGTTTTGAACTTGCCATATTGCTTCATATTTGATTGGAATGAGTTTGGAGATTTAGCACCGTCTTCGTTTTACCTTTCATGGTTAGTTCCTTCTTTCTTGTTATCTTCATCTGCTTATTGCATTGATTTCCAATCGGTTATGACGGGTTTATTGTTTAGCTTCTGCCTGATGTTTTGTAAAACTTTTATTCAGAATCACACTACATAAATTGAATAATTAGATAGTAAAATATATGGTTTTTTACTTTTTTGGGAAAGAAGGGTTTTGACTTTCTACTTCTTCATCTTTATACAAAAATCAATATCCCTAAAATACTTATACCCCCTTTTCCCCAAAAACTTATCTCTCCTCAAAATATTTCCTTTTCGAATTGAACAAGATTTCTATTAGTCCAGGAATATTAGGGGTTTCACCTCAAAATGAGAGAAAGTCAGCTATAAACTTGTATGAATCTTTTAGACCATGGCTGAAGCCTTCAAAAATGGTAAAAAGTGAAAAAAAATAGTAGGATGAAACCCATTAGAAAAGACTCCGTTGATATTATAAAAAAAACATAGATTGGCAAATAAATCCTATACAATTTGTACATATCAAATATTATCGCCTCCGTGGCGCAATCGGCTAGCGCGTTCGGCTGTTAACCGAAAGGTTGGTGGTTCGAGCCCACCCGGGGGCGTTCTTTTTTTCTTGCATTTTAAGGAGACTCAAAAGTTACAACTCATATTATTTACTACACGGAAATGATTTGCCAAATCTGATATTTTGCACTGTTTGTTTTTTCAAACAGACTGCTTAAACACTTATTCATGTTACGAGTCATTAGTTATGAAACGACTGAGTTAGCGGGGATAATAAGATGTTTACTGTTGCATTGGACTGGTTTTAATTTCTTTGCAGCCACAGAGAGGACGAATCTCGTTTGGTGGTCGAAGTCTAAGCTTCTTTTCGTGGTTCCAATGTAAACCGATCCACAGCTATAAGGGATCCGGTTAACCTTCAGTGTTTGCTAAAAGTCCTCTGAAATTCTTAGCTGACCTTTGATGCACTCTAATAGTTTTCGTTGGGCTGAATATTGTTTTCACTTTGTGTATTTCCAGAATTCTGAAAATTCCGGCCTGTAATATTTTTAACATAGAGGAAGGAGTTTTTTTCATTAACAGGCCTAGTTACTTTCGAGTTCTCTCTTCTGAATTTTATCGCCATTCCGAATTCAACTTTGCTATATCTATTGCCTTTCGAAGGATTTTTTGATGATTAAATTCCTCTGAGAGACTCTCAGGTTCACAGATATCTCGAGCTCTCTCAACTAACTTTATGAATATGAATATTACTGGAGTTTTTTTCTCAACACCAAAACGTTATTTCAACACCTAGACACGTGTTTCGATCACGAAGTGATCATCTTCAAGAGCAAGATCAAATTAATCATACTTACAAATCTATCCTTATTTTACTATGCCCTATAGGTACCTGGTCTTGAGTATCTTAATTTTACAATGTGTCCTTATGTAATAGTTAGGTAAATCTAATAATTAAAATATTATAAGCTATATAAAACTAATTTCACAATATTGCATTATTACAATATTGCCATCGAACCACTCTTTATCGACGATCCTTCAGTCATAATATATAGTTTGTATAATAATATTCCACAAAAATATAAAGTTAGTCAAGTTTCTGTATTTAAGTGCTGTTACAAAAAATATCTCATTGTTGCTCAATCAGAAAGTCATTGATTTCATAGATTTTATACTTCTGAAAAATTTTCAGTTATAACATTTAACATGTTTTCTCTCCCTCTTCCATCTCTCTCATCCCTCTTTTTTTTCTCTTCTTTTTTCTTTGTTTACTCTCTCATACCAAAATATTAATAACAAAACACCAAAAACTTACATTATACTGCCACCCGGCAGGATTGAAGAGAAGGAGATGTACAGCATTGCTGATGATCAATAGATACTCAAATAAATTTCTGAATACTGTCTGTTTATGATCTTGACCTTCCTCAATATTTATGAAGATTTATACGCTGACATTGCAACTTTGATCCGGCCACTGTACTAAGGAAAAATGCTCCGCATGCAATCTGTGCACAGTTTGCGTATTTGGAGATTGTTTTATATTTCTATATCCTGTGATCGGATCAATTTCGATCTTTATGAACTTTGAATATTACAAGATGGAATTCTGAATACTGAGTGTTTTTGTTTTAGAATATTGGAGTTGGAGTTGGAACATTTTTCCATTCATGTCTTTACTTAAATGAATTTGAATTATTTCAAGACTATTTACCATATTTGACAATAAAATCAATTTCACAATGTTGCCTTATCTATTAGTCTTAAATTAATTTTACAATGTGTCCCTATGTAATAGACAGG